CGGCTTGCAAGACGATGTTAGGTTGATAGAAATTCCCCCGAACAATCTAAAACGTATCCTCGTTCGAAATCGCCTGTACGATTATTCATGCGATACGCCAGAGTGCATGGTTTGCCCTTATGGTAGAGCAGGTGATTGCATGAAGTCGGGAGTGATCTATTCCATACGTTGCCTCGCATGCAGTAGTGAGTATATAGGAGAAACTGGACGGCCTCTGCGCGTACGGGTTAAGGAACACATGGATGGTCTTCGAAGATCGCAAATCCAAACTCCGCTGGGTGCCCATCGTGTTCATTCTCATGATGGTGTGGGATTCCAGGTGACTGTGTCCATCCTGGCGCAGGAGCCGGAGATCGCAGCGCGAAAACATTGGAGGCATTGTGGATTTCGGCTAAAGACCCCAAAATGAATAGGAAAGAGGAGTGTGTGGTCATAACCCGTGAACTCGCGCCCTTCTCCGACCTTTGTGGGTTTTGATCTACATGAGGTCGAGGTTTGAGGTCGAGGGATAGAGGGGAATTCTCACTCATCGCATTACTGCAAGCCGGTGGTCGATCTCGCGTCTCCGCGGCGGAGATCAAAGGTAAGCCGAGTCATCTTAACCGATCGATACCGTTAGGTTGTTTACCAGTTTCTCAAAAGGTCTTCAGTTTTTGTTAAGGCGTTTGGGAGAGCAAATCACAACTGTTTCGGACTCTTTCAGGCTCTGACGAAGGCGAGGAAGCCGAAACGTTGGCCTAATAAACGTTAACAATCTTGGTCGGCTCAAGTACAACAATAATTTGACGGAACATTTATGCCAAGATTAAGCGGGAGTCGGTCCTGGACGATAGGACTTAGTTGTTCCTCAGTTCCATCATATCAGCGACCTCTCGAGACTTTCCGGTAAGCGATCCCATGTTCAGAACCCAGTTCGTACTAGTTTCTACGGCCGAAGTCACTCACCCCTCCGTAGCCCTCGCACACTGCCCACAGGACTCGGTCAAGGGTTCTGCGCGTTCCTTTCTAAAGTAACTTTTGAACTCTTGCAACTTCTGTTCGTTTGTTGTGACGGAGTACTCCATCGGCAGCCTACGATCTGGGCCTGGCATTGATATCGGCACCAACCCTGTGGTTTCGCAAGGCATAGATTTGTGCCAAGTCAGTGATCGAAGTCGTGAACAGAGTTCGCTTCCTTAACAAACCTTCATGGTTTCGAGATCTGGCACCCCATTCACGTTTGCTATCGCACTGCCATCCACGTAAGTTAGATCTTCTCTTGTCAATCCGTAGTGCATCAACAAAAAATTATTTGAATCAGCTAAAACGGAAGAGCTCTCAAACTCTATTGAACGCTCACTTCCTAAAAACATACCGACTCTCGATGCGAATGACGCCGAAGACGACAGAAGCAGGAAGAAGGACAGCAGGTGAGACATAGCACGTTGAACACCGGTCACTTGACGACTGATTGATGACTGACCAGTAGATTTTGCTTTTATATAGTGATTCCGATGAAGCTAAGTCGATAAGATATCGGTCATGATATCGATATCATTTCTCAAACGGTAAACATGAGGATTACTGTAGCCATACGGATAGGGAATGAGTTCCCCTCGTTTTTGAAGGCACGTTTTGTGTTCTTTCGGTGTGCAGGCACCTAGGTGGTCCTGTCCGCAAGCACCGAGAACCACTACCACTTTCGCTGCACAAAAAAGCGCGGAAAGGCTGCCTTCGATCGCGGTGAAGGCATTGCCCATCCCACGGCCTACGCCACATTCAGAGTATCACCTACTACCTGTACCACCTCTGCTCTCCGCTGATCATCGAGCTCCTCGAGCGAGCGCCAGTAACGCCTCCATCCGTGGGTGCAACGTGCAAACTTCCCAATACCCGGAGACACGATGAACTTCATACCACTTTCAAAGCGTTCACGAAGAAGTCTGACCATTGCGTGGGCGGTCGTCCAGAGTTCGCTTGGCATCCCGTGGAACCCAGTAATCGATCTTGTCCAGCGGCCTTTCTCCAAACGCATAACGTGCCCAGCCCCCCTTCGAGACATTGGCAAACGTTGCTGCGTCTCTGATCTTCGCTCGTCGGATCACATCCAGAGTACGCTTCTTAAATTTTCCATTATTGCGGTTATTCCGCTACAAACTCTGCACAAATGGTGGGAGTGAGGTAACGATGGAAAGAACTGATATGTGGTACCAGCAATGGGAGAACTGATCCGAGCCCGCCCTCTCTTTGCCTTACGCACTTACGAGATCGGTTCAGTAAGAGGTCATGTCAATGGCATTTGGTGAGGCTTTTCGGCTTTTTTTTCTTCTCTATCAAGTTACTTACCAGCTTTTCATTAGCATTTTGGCCTCACCACCAGATATTTTGAGTCGCAGGGCGTGCATTTAATAGTTTGTTATTCAAATTATTATCGCAAGACCGACGGTAGTACACATCATTTTCAAGAACTCTGTCTCGTCATCGGAGGCATGGTGAGTTTTTAAATTGAATTTTGTCTTGAAAATAGGCTTTTGGAAAACAAATTTCAGGGAGTAAAAAGCTTTTGGAACGCTCAAAGAATGGGTAAAAGCCGAGACATTCTGGGTGACGTGGATACCATGAATGCGGAGATTGATTGTCTTCAGTTTGCCAAGTCTCAAAGTGGCAATTACGACTTCGGCGACTTATCCCGCTATGGTCAACATTTCGGGGAGATTGGGGGTTCCGTGCACGCGCAAGCGAAATGCATTTTGGTCGGTAGAACAATCACGTGGTCCGATTCAAACAAGAAGGTCATTTAGTGTAAAGCCGACTGTTGATTATTGCTGTTCCAGGAGCATATACCGTTGCTGGCGCCGCTTTTTGAAAGCTGATGGGAGATGTCTACCCATTTTTGAGTAGCTGACCTCTGGCTTCGTCAAAACAAATTAGGGACAACTTTCGTGAGAGGGGGTTAGGTACACTGCGAAAAGGGGGTCTTTGTGGGGGGAAGGCCTGTTCCACAAAAGTTCGCTTCAAAGGAACTCAAGGTACATACAGTACTCCGAAAATTGCGCGTAAGATTGATTTTGAAATGCACACAAAGGAGCGAGGTACTACGTAGCCCACATACTTCTGGCGCAATATGCTCTACCCTAGCCGCGCGAGCGCAGACCTGCCGATCAAACGATAACTAAATTGGGGTACGGTACGTTCGGTGGCGTGCGTTCACAACGCCACATTTTCACTTGACGCGCAATTTTCGGAGGTACATACAGTCCGCAGCCTGACAACCTGAACTTATAATAATGTTGTTCATGGTGCGCATTGGAGTAATATGAAATTTGGAAAAAGTTGGTTCAAAGTTGTGGCACATAGAGATGTTATAAGATGCGTAAGAAGGTCATCAAATCCGTAGGAAGCTGTCTAACCCTCTTCCCTTTCTCATCTCTCTCCCTTTTTCATTGCATCGTCGCCATTTGCATATCCCATTTGATCTTGACCTCATGTTCGTAAAATGATCATAATCAATGGCAACAGCGAGGGTATTATTGAGGGCAGTTTACATGCCCTCTACAGTAATAAGTCAACCAGCACACTGCACTTCTGTTTTTGAACTCTATTACCTTCAACTAGAAATCTTGTGGAAAGTGCCTTTAACCTTGATCATACGACCAAAGCGGAACCTAGCTGAAAACACATCACTAGTTGAAGTGGTCTCTAATTATGAATTTATACATTTCGTTTTGTTTCAAGTTTCAAAAGCTTAAATATTTTATTCACAGACCAATACGGTTGACAGAACATACATACTGATGGGTAATTAGCACACAGAGATGCTGGCAACTTGGTCACTATAATGCCTACAGAAAGGTGAATTATTACAGCTCGTATTTTGAAAGTTAAGCCCTGAACTATCACAGCTGTTAGCGAGTAGAACACCACACATTACTACAGACTGAGATATGGAAAGTGAAAGGAGATTATAACCATTAAGTAAGTAGACACCATCCCGGCCATCCATATTGTAATCTGGTACATGTGACACCTTATTGAATATGTAAGCGGCAACGGATACGTCGCGCTTGAAACTTACGCGAACTGTCGCGGCGCGGCTCAGCGGCGCTCCAAGCTGCGCCGTGACGGTTCGCGTCAACGCCTCTGTAGAATCTCCATGATATTCTGAATGAACGAAAGGCAGTAGCCCTAACAACTACGTATATAACAACCATCAATCTTCTTCAAGGAATAGTTTGCGCAGGTGACTCCTGTTCCAGACAGCGAGTGACCTTGCATTCTCTTCGGAACAGACCTCGCACACCACCAGCGCGATCTCTCCGTTTAGAACAGATTCCCTCCATGACCAAATGGGCAGGACAGTCGCGCTATCTTTGATGATCCCCACCATCTGGGGCAATATATAGAAAAGAAGGCGCGCCAAAGAGGTCTGGCTCAGCCCATACAGTCAACAGAAATGTGCGCTCAAGAATCTCTTATATGGGTGCAGCTATTATGTTGCTACTGTGTTGAAGAAAAGGTTTCCCAAGACCCGTTACGGAATTCCACCTTTATAAATAAAATCAGCTGAAGATAAACAGTAATTATTATTTACAAGCATAACTAAATATATTAAGCATTAAATCGAAGACAATATTAAAATATAAGTGAAAATATAACAAAATAAAGTATAGTACACTCAATATCCCAAGAGCAAATTGAAAGCTGAAGCTCTCGCTGACGTCATAACTCTATAATAACCGATCCTTCAGAAAAGAAAACCATAAAATTTTAATCTTTTTGGCAGGGCCATAGAAAAATGGGCCGAGAGATGGGCGAAGCTTCAGTTCCATTTTGCTTGCCACATTGGTACGCCTCCTTTTCACAGAACCGACTTAAGTAGAGGGGCACATCAGTGAGGATCCCTCAATCGTTTTCCGTCTCCGCCCACGCGCTCATCGCGAAATGTGCTTCTGAGAAACTTTTTCTTCATCCTGATTAATAAGACTAATCTGTGTGTTTAGTGGCATGAGTAAAAGTATTATCTACAGCAATTCAAAGCCATGTTCGAGGGCTTGTTGCTTCTCGTCGTCGGTCGTCTCACGTAAGGAATCACTCATTGACGCTTCTTGGTATTGCACAGTGAATAACGGATCTTTGGTACGTTTTGATCCTTCACCGGGACCCAAATCTACGTCCACAACTTGATTCTGGAAGACAACGATAAGGGCATTAAGCAGCAATAAGAACAGAGTAAGCCGTACCTTCTTGGAAACTTTGTACTGCTACAGCATTGGGTGCCACCACGTGGAATCGAAGGGCGTTGGAGAAACTCTCGCCTACCTTGGAATGGAAGGGGGCTGAGTACCTAAAGAAGATGGAATATCCAAGTAGGTCACCTGACTTCAATAGGGTGGTCTACGGTGGCGGAGAAATCGACTATCTCGCTGATCTCAGGCACCACATCGCGGTCGCGTGCCAGAATCTCTCGATGGCGCTCGTCCAGAAGGCTGTGGCGGAGTGTCATGATAGTATTTAATATGCTCTTTAATATGGTGGTAGAAATGTCCGATCAGAATTTATAAAGTGTAACTTATAGCGCCTCGAAAGTCAATGAAGCAAAGTGACTTTTTTGGCCCCCCTGTATACGCATGAAACAGGAAAATCACAAAAAGTCAACCCTCACTCCTAGAAGACCAGAAAGTAGATACGACCCCCTCCCAATAATGAGCGACTACGACCCCCTTATAATGTCCGTGAAGAGAGGAAAATTGACTATCAAAATAAACTTTTCTCAGCACAAATACGACCTCCCTCCCTGTTGGGGATTCCCCAACAACGATGTGCCCTGCCCCGACACGAATACAGCGTCCGCTTGGGTCGAAATCCGCCTGGCGCGTGCTGCTCCGGCACCAAAACACCTCACCACAAACTTTGCTGAAAATCGTCCTGGGAAGTCTTTCAACCCCAGAACAAGAATATCACGCTAGCTTGGCGTGAAAACGAATGCTACGTCAGACATCACCCAGGTAATAGGCCTTCTACACAGTGAGTTAGCGGTGATCCCAATCCTCCCAAGCCACATTATCGCTAGGCAAAACACCAACAGGAGGTCGTATAGACCGCGAAGAAATTGTTAAGATATGAGTTACGGAAAGACAAAGGTGCAAGCTGTAGTAGAGAAGGTAGAGCATTCGACAGAGAGCCGTCCAAAGCAGAAGGTTTGCTCAGTGTAGTGATCTGCCCTGAATCCGCTCAGCGAATGGTGGAGAGTGGGGGAGTTTGTGTCATGGGGTACTTCTGTTGTCTCAGGACATTGGTACCTCATTTAAGCAGCAGATATACAGCAGCAGATATACATATAGCAGATATAGATATGGAAATACCTTGTAAGTAGGCCAAAAACCAATTGTCTACTGACTGAGTGATAGTTCATACCTTGTTAATATTCCCGTGATCATCAACGAAACGCTGTTGAAGATCTTCCATGGATTTGCTCTCATCTCTGGTTATTCCGAACATTTGCTTCAGGAGGTCATTTGAATCAACTGAAATTGAGATAGAAAAATGCAAAAAAATCCTCAAAAAATGTTCTTCTAAGAGGCGTACCATTTCGGTCACCCCAGACGATTAAGGCGAACGACGACAGAAGTAGAAAGAAGCGCAAGAACGTCATTGCTCAAACAACGATGTTCGATATAGTTCAGTTGCTTTTATGCAGCAATCTCGTCCTGAGAAATAATAATTGGCCGATTGGTGCTCTGAATCATTCCAATGTCCTTTCCGGGCCAGCCTTTATTTTCCAACACGGTCTTTGGCATTTTGTTCAGCTTTAGTATTTGCCATGTTGTTTTTCATTTCTAGCACGAACTAAAATGCCATTTCCGACCAGCAAGGAAAAACATTCCCAAAACTGTCTAGTCATCACCTTGAACACCTAGCGCACGATAATTCGGTGTCGGTCTTGAATGGTAGCAGCTATGCCCAGTAGTGGGACAAGGCGCACTTCGGCGAGAAGGGGTGGGGGCATTTTGCCATTCGCTGCGCCGCTAGCTCCGGTCTACAAGTCTCACTCTGGTGAAACCTTTGAATTTCTGTGATGCGGGAGCAAGCTCGATGGGCTACCATGATAGAAACTGCAAACTCTTGTGAGCTCATGACAATAGCTCTCAAGTCTTCCCAACACGTCGAGCAAAAGTGCGAAATGCCCCCCTCGTTGCCGACCTGCGCCGCGAAATAGTGGCGAAATATATGCGTCTTGACCTCTGCAACGATAAATCCTGTGAGTGGGTGTGAATTGGAGCGCAGTGAAGGCAGCCTTCCCCGCCAGTTGTTGCGGACTCAGGATGACGTCATTGAAAGGAAAAGCCGCTCTGGCTGCGCTGTAGTCCATGCCTGATCACACGCCCTATCGTTTGCAGGGATGGACTGTACCTGTATGCAACACAGTAGTTGCACAATCTCACTTGTATTTCTTGAATGGAACGAGAAGTGTAGTAGTAGGATCAGTGTGCTTGATACTGACACCTTGGGAGGGGTGGCAGTCCTTCTGGGGAGCCTGTGTTGACCACATCTTCGGACCAATTTTTCCTTCACTCAAAGACATTTCCAATCTACAAGGTAATCACCATTAATGGCTGGGACTAGTGCCCATCTTTTGCACAGCTTCTCATTTCCACTCTCTAAAACTGGCTACTACGATAAAGAGAAAAGTTCAGAAGGATCAGTGTGCTTGATACTGACACCTTGGGAGGGGTGGCAGTCCTTCTGGGGAGCCTGTGCTTCTGACACCTTCTGACGCACTCCCCTCTTTAAACCACTTTTGAAGTCTAACTTTGCTTGGAATGGCTTCATACGTCGACTACTCGGCAGGTGGTTTCTGTGTTTGCCAGCGATTTCGAAACCATGATCATCAAAAATTTGTCGTGCCTGATGCATTTGAATGCTCGATTATGAGCCTTCTCTTTCTCTTCCTCCCCCCCTCAAGTTCATATTAGGTTGGAAAGAAAGTCCTGCGGCACTTTGACCACATTTTCGGACCAAATTTTCCTTCACTAAAGACATTTCCAATCTACAAGGTAATCACCATTAATGGCTGGGACTAGTGCCCATCTTTTGCACAGCTTCTCATTTCCACTCTCTAAAACTGGCTACTACGATAAAGAGAAGAGGTGGACCTCATTTTCGAGTTTCGGAGTTTTTGCTTCCTAGAGAATGCTGTAGAGATCAAAGGCGGTGGTGATTGGAGGCTGCTAACTTCAGTGACCAAGCTGGGTATGGTCCCATTCCCTGATCGAGATCCAAAATCTTCTAGTAGTTTGATCCTCCCATGCGGTCTTCGCATTGTAGAGAAGAATTGAGTATTTCTGAAGGAATCTAAGCGTGACGTCATCTTTCAAAGTTGACTGGAGTGGGCTGTAGCGGTACCCAGCGACATTGCTTTGAAATTCCACCAATAACACAGTGAGATATTATTGCATGTAAATCTGCTTTTGGCAAAGCAATCTACTTTTTTCCTTGAGAGATGAGGGATTTGTGCGCAAGGATTCCTACTCTGCTACCAATCACGAAATCTCACAAATTTTTCCAGTGCCTACAAGGAAAAGAAAACTCAGTCATTCGGTGCACCTTGTCAGTCTGGTCCAACTCATGGGGCATCCTTCACGTAACATTTTCCCTATAACCGAGACTTGGGGAGAAGCATGGCAGTTGTCAGTTAGGTGGAGCCTAGAGAGGTTGGCAACTAACTGGTGTATGGTCAGCGCATGGGAGGATCAGGCTCGATCAGTGAACGTTCGACTACGCCTCCAGAAACTTGAGTAAATGGCCGTCATTCTGTGCTGGTGGCCGACCTGCGAATTAAACAACTCCAGCTCTTAATCGCTGAGATAAACGGAGCACTGTGGCATGGCGAGCGACGTCCTCCCTGAGGACAGCGCATGTGCTAGCTCCTTCCACTGCGCCGGGGTGGCCACAGGAAACCATAATATGGAATAGGTCGAAAATTTACCCTGAACTTTAGGAAGAATTTTAGGCCTTGAAAGCCTCCACAAAGTCATGATGTACGTCTGCAAAAACCTCAGAGAACCCTCACCACTAATCAGTGCTGCAAACGTTCGCAATGCTTTTTGTCTTCTTCTGGAACAATCTCATCAAAGTGTCGCAGGACTTCCTTTCCCACCTGATAGAATGGTCTGCAATGGCAGCAATGGCACCAGCATGATAGCAAGTGAGGAAGACACCCATTCTTTGTTCCTCTAATTGGCCCGATCCATCTTTATTGAGCCCCACCTACCCTCTAACCGGCACTGATGGCGCAGGACCTATCAAGAAACGCCGGTAGGTTCATTGCTGTCAGTGAGGATTCAGCTGTTGTAAAATGCGACGACCATTGTCCGGTGATCTCGTCCGATCACTCTGCTCGCTCTCATGTCGTATAAATACACTTCGAAGCAGATCTTTCTTACCACTGAAGCGATCATGACGGTTTTTTTCTTTTTTTTTTCCTTTACTTCTTCGTGGCATTTCGGCATCCCTATTTCAGCCCCCTTTTCAGGATTTTGATCGCGAGTTTGCGAAAGTGTCACTGCTCGTTCCCGAATTTGACCCTGACCATGAGAATACTTTCGGAAACGTGTTTTTGACATTCGAATGAAGAACAGCCTCTTTCTCCAAAACTCGGTGCAGAGACCCAAAAAAATCTAGAGCAAATGAAATAGGCTCAGCCTCCTTGAGGCAGGTGGTTCGATAAATTTCCAAGACGTGTAGGAATAATAGGCTTAGCCGGGCAGAATTCGACAGCTCAGATCATGCGCTGTGTGGTGCCTTCCCCAAAGAAGATACCCTTATAGCGCTCTATCGAATTGCAACCCGATCCAGACGCTCATTTGCGAAGTGCAACATGAAGCGACTGGTTTGATGTAAAGCGGTTGCGGTGCTGCACGATGCCAACGGGAAACTCGTCCGAAATTGCTGGTGTTTCACTTCATTTTTTCTCCGTTTTCCCCACTGTGTAGCACTGCTAGCACCTCCCAAAACTATGACAAAGGAAAAGACAATAAGGATGTTCTCAAAGAAAATCTGGAAAATATGCGAGAGCCATCGCTGGCCCGAAGTTCCTTGATGAGGCCGCTCGGACTATATCATATAGAGACTCCAGAAAAACAAACATTTATTCAGCTCGCTCAGTAACCACAAAGGTCACATAAAACACATGGAAACACGTGCACACTGAATGCGGGGGAATGATAGCGAGCTATACCATTCCTTCATTGTGATCTTCAAGCTTTATTGTTGGTTTGATTTGCTGAAAAAAGGTCATAAATAATGAGTGAAATCCCTTACAGGTGTTGTTGACTTGGTGGGGCACCAGCCAGGGTATGCCGTCATGTGGGACAGCGGGAGGTCGTGTTTCACCGCGAACGATCGAGCGCAGGGCTCACTCAAAAATTTGTGGAGCAGTAAGACAGAGATGTCGAATAAGCACTGACTAATGAAAGATTATCGCAAAAGTGTTGAGTTGTGTGCAAAAGTCAAATCACGGGCGGGATTTGAACCAGCATCTCCCGTTTTATGTGCGTTTGCGTACCCTAATACGTCAATGAGGCCACTCTTACCCTCTCATCTCAATGGCTATTTGTGCCTTCGAGCACTCACACGTTGATAAAGGATTTATTAACGGTTCTTGCTGCGAAAAACACTCGAATAGACACCTGAAGACAGAGGCAAGTTGCAAGCTCAGAAGTGGGGAATGGGTGGTGACAAGTAGCACGGTAGCCGTCAACAAAGGTGTCATGAAGTGGTAAACAAAGTAACACGATTTTACATGGACTTTTTTACCGCAGGAGCACATCTCCCACTTCCTGCGGTGGAGCTTACACCTTCCCAACACTTCTGCGGGGTAGTCGGGTGCATGTCGCAGTATAGAGATGGTGTAATCAACGGTGAAAGGAATCAAAGGTTCCCTTTGATTTCGAACGGCGAGGTGTGTTCCAGAAAGTTACTCAAATTTTCGAACAAATTGGGAGTGGTACTGCGACGCGGTGGGGATTTTTCGCGTCGTCACAAATTTTTCACAACACACTCACAACGGAGAATTTTTTAAGTAGTGGGCGTGAAATATGCTAAATTCGGTTTGTTTTGGTGTCTCAAGAGACCGTATGTGACGAGCGTTAATGGCTCTTCAGCAAGAAAACTCGAAGGTGACATCAAAATGTCACAACAAGTCACAACGGGGCTCTTCAAAAAGGATGAAACTGAAGGCGCTCAAGCAAAACCAAGAAACTAGGAACCCAGTATCCACAACCCTGCTTCCTCTCTTCAGATGTTCCACACTCAAGAAGATTATGAATATTCCAAGAAAGGGTCTACTGGAGCCCTTCTCTTATTTCGCAACACACCC